GTTGTCATAAGAATTTACATGTTAAATTGAACAATTCAAAAGAATACAACTTGCACTTATACCTTCTGCATGTCTGTCATTACAGTCCATGGATATGTATTGTCAATGCCAAGATCTCAAGAAACCACCTCCATGAAGACAATGACTCCACCTCCACCACAGCCATTGCAATTGGATATATGCAGTCATTAGGATCAATTCCAACAGCAGTTAATAGTTGGCCACCAAATTTAGTCTTGATATGACATCCATCCAAGCAAATCAGTGGTCTACACCCACTAAGAAAACCCCTTTTACATGCATCAAGGGACATGTACAGAGTGTTGAAACAACCATCATTCAAATTCAAATAAAAGGTACTCCCAGGATTGGACCTCCTTAACTCTGAACCATAATCCCATAGTTGGTTGTACTGCTCAACCTCATCACCATATATAGCCCTCAATGCCAACCTTCTAGCTCTAGAAAGTTTGCTCCTAGAAGGTGTCAAGTTCCACTCTCTCTATACTGTCCTTGCAAAGCTGCCAAGAGTCATCTTCTCATCTGTTCTGAATGTATCAACATATATCTCTGCAAGCCACTTTCAAGTGCATCTTTTAAGAATCCATTCCTTTTGGCATTCATGCTCTCCAACATAAGAATCCATTCCTTTTGGCATTCATGCTCTCCAACATAGGTCTTCACCATGAAAGTTTTTGTCCTTCTATCAAATGAAGCATATAGATTCCAAGGACATCCCTCTGCACAATGTGCCCTGATCCTTGTCCTATCATTTCTTGGCATCTTGATCTCCACTCTTTGTTTCAGACTATATTCAGTTATTGCTTTTCTCAATACCTCAACTGATTGGAATACCATGCCAACTTTGAAAATTGGATTGCTCGTGTCCTATGACCTAAACGATTTGAACTTCAATCTCACTAGACCATCTTCATCGCCATCATAGTCTGGAAGTTGTAGTTGTTCCTCATCAAAACCTACATCATCAGCAGACTGAACATCCATGGTTTTTGCCTTATTTTCACTGATTGTTCCCTTCTTCCCTTCTTACTCTTCTTTTTCACTATACCATTAGGTGATACATCATCATCTACATTATCCTCAAATAAGTCATCATCCCCATCATCTATTTCATAGTCACTATCCATAAAGTCACTATCATCACTATCACTTTCACTATCTCTGTCCCCCTCAACCAATTCTATGGAATTGGCTTTGTTTGAATAAAACTCAGGAAGCCTTTCACCCTCTTTGTTCTCAACATCTGTTACCTTTCTTGGGCTAAGTACCTTAGGCAAAATCTCCAAAGTGTCATCCCAGTTATTGTTCCCATATGTCTCCCCATGATCAAAGTACACAACAAAATTCTTCACAGTATTCACAAATGACTTCATTGCAGCAGTATCTATCTCTCGTGTAATCAACCTCAGTCTATCTGCAAGTCTCTTTCCTCGTAGCAACCAATAAGTCTTCACGCTATCTTCATAGCCAAGCATTGCAATGAATTCACCTATCGAAAGCATATTCCAACTTTGGGCCTCACAGTGATCAAACCAGGTCACCTTCTCATCTACGTAAGACCGATTCTGGCCATGCCCGAGAAAAAAACCACCATGATGCACCTCAAGAGTAAATGTATCTGAATCAGTTCCTACATTGCACAATCCATCAACCAAAAATAAGAAAACCCGACAAAACCTCCACTAAATTTCACCAAGCAAAACCCTAAATTTCACTCAACCAAAAATTGAACATTTACTAAACCAAACCACAAGGACATCGATCACCAAGTACCATGCACCAATCAGTTTACAGATTATAGGAGAATTAAAAGAGCTCACCATAGTAGGGCATTGGTTCCACTTCTTCGCGCAACTGAAGAACCATCGTTGGACTTTTTTGTGGATGCAATCAAATCCACAAGCTAGACATGCAGGGGATCAATCCTCTCATTTGCCGGTTTCAACATGAGGAAACCGTCGCCGATCAGCACCGGCCACTGCCCTAGCAAGCCCTGGTCGCTGCCGCCTCTGTACGTGGGATGAAAACATGAACAGATGGTATGGTATTGAAAGGATACAATTTGGAGGGGTCTTTTGTAAGTTGTATAGAGCACATGGGGAACCCATGCAAATGTGGCTGTACACATAGAAGACACGTTGGATCTGCTTTGCAGCCGTGTCAAATTTGGACCTTATGTGATACATTTAGCAAGTTTAAGGATCCAAATCTGTAGTTTCAGAGATTAGGGACCGGGATGAGAAGATCAAACAAGTTTAAGGACCCACAGTGTACTTTACTCTTCCTATAATATATTTAAACGTTTCGGTTTTTTAATAAAATCGACATCTATACTATACATGTAGGTTTTTCTTTAGAACTGGCTCTTATAGTTGCTTATAGGTGTCGGTTTTTGTGTTTTTAGCCCACAGAGATGGTAAATATGTACTGGTTTTAGCACTTCTGACACCTATAGTGCCGACCACTATGTGCCTTTTTGTAGTAGTGTACAAAATTTCTTGCCTCTATCACGGTAAAAAGTTTACGTCCTGTTCTCTCCATCTCCACCTAGTGATTCAGTCAACTAGTAATGTTTCTACCATTATATATTTTTCATGATGTTCTCTCCATCTCCACCTAGTTATTCAGTCAAGTAGTAATGTTTGTACCATTTAATATTTTCATGGTTGTCGTGATGTTCAACGGCGAACGGTGGCCTACGCCCCTCAGCACCGCAGGCTCCGGCAGCATGGCGGTGCTCGCCCCACGGCAGCATGGATCCGGCGATGGGGCCGCTGGTTGTTGGTGCGACGTGGATCAGGAGGCACAGCAAGGATCGCTAGGGTGGAGGTGGGGTCGCCGGCTGGAGGTGCGACGGCGTCGACTGTTTTTCTTGATTGTTGATGTTTATTGATGTTTGATTGTCTCGGATTTGATCTAGATGTGTTGTTTTTCTTGGGATTATTGATTATAGTTATGTGTTCATGGATTTGAGGCATCATTTTGGGATCATGTGCGCCTCAAAGGTGCTGGTTCTGGAATCGGTAATTTTGACTAGGGTCATCAGTGCCGCCTTCTTGGTTCTAGTTGGAAAATCTGGCACCTATGGCGGTTTCCCAACCAACACTAACGATGTTTTCTGTAGTAGTGGTTACTAGCGAGTGTGCGATGGAGAAGGGGTATTCTAGCATCCATATCATTGGTACAGAGTTGCCAAAGAGGCTAGATTCGATGCCTTCCAGGGTCATGTGGCTAGATATGGTAGTACCTGGCTTGGCATGATCAAGTTTGGTCTCTAGGGCATTGGTGACTTGGTGAATTATGGGTTTCAAGCAAAGAGGTAGCGAGCTGGAGTTGACATAGGTTCCTGGCTAGGGAAGTCGACAAAAGTGGAGGAGGTAAGGACGCATCATTGTTGGAGACAGGCCATGGCTAGCATCGGCAACCCAAATCTGGGGGTGGTGATGACCATGAAAAAATAGGAGCGATGAAGCCAACAACTATATGGAGGAGTGTCCAGAGCCGAGTCTTGTGGGTGTTGACATGCCCGACGAGGCGGTTGGATCAAGTGGCCACCAAGTAAGATTGAAAAGATCCCACAAGGAGATTCTCTGGCAGTGACACATGGAGAGCTCAGAGCTATGTTGGTGCATCAGAACCAATGCCCTCCCTATTCACATCGCTAGATCCAGTTGGCCAAAGACACATAGTGTTATCGTGAACGAGGTGGGCCCTAGGGGTGGTAACAGATGGACCAGCTAGCGACACGGCCTGTACATATCCGCTCCAAAGGGGTGGTAAGGAGGAATGGCACAATGTAGGTGTCTAGTGGTGGTGACTGAAGGCCTGGCCGGCGGCATGGCTTGTCTCATGATGTGCTTCGGAGAACATATCCTATAGCCAGCGCTGCTTCACCTATTCGATCTATAGATTTGAATAAACATGACTGGATGATGTGGATGAATGGAGATGGTTGGTTACGTTGGTAGATAACACAAATGAGCGGATTGATTTAGTTTACAAGAATTTACCACATTTGTGTAGAAGAGTTGGTGGACGCGTGTGAGTGCTGGGTATGGGTGGGCAAAAAAAAAATCGAGACCGAAAATTTCCACGTTTGGTTAGGAAAGCTGGGGTATGCATGGGAGCATTGGGTAGGGAGTGGCAAAAGAAACCCAAACCAGACATAGAAAGCTGAAATGGGATCATCAGTTCCTAGTTCGGTCTTAGGTTTGAGAAGATAGATCGCTTATTCGGTAATTTTGGTCAATTGCATCGGGTACCCAAACTACCCTATGCGTGAACAGTATCATCACCTCCTTCTCTTTCTTTCGCTCCTTATTAAGTCATACCATCGCCTTCGATCTATACCCTATATGTGAACATTATCCTTATCTCATGTTTCTTTCACTCCTTATTAAGGCATACCGCCACCTTCGATCTCTCATTCACCAACACCATTTCTAGTCTCCAGTCCATCATCCGGCCTCACCCATCCACCATATATAAGACCCCTCTCCTCCCTCGTTAGATTCCATCTCGAGGAGCGCATCTCCATGGATTTCATCCCACGCTGACTGTCCACCAAATAGCCCTTTCCTAGCTCTTTGTATGGCTGGCCCATGGCCGCCACCTGAAAGGCGCTTACTCTAGGCCCATCCGACATCTCTATCCCATGGTCTCCTGGTTCCACGCTTGTCGTCTAGCATAGTCACTTCAATGTGGCCAAAAACTGAGAATGAAAGAAATCTATGGGTTGCTAAATTGTTTGTACCAAGGTCGGTTGTCATTTTCGAAGGATTGAATTACCCAGTCCAATATCTTAGCCTAGACCAAATGCCCACCCCTAGTGCTGGGTGGGTGTTTGGGGGCATGCCGTATAGTAGTCAAACTAAAAACATGAAAAGTATGAGCCAAAATTTAACATTTATAGCATGTATATATGAGTTATTGACTAATGATCCATAAAAGCTGAGCTTTCAAATGTACATGCCTTTACAAAACTTTAAAAGAAACTGATGGTGGTGACAGTGTGATCGACTCAACTCAAACTAGGACTGATGGGAAGCAATGCTGCAGCAAATTAAACGAAAGCAAATGATACATGTGCGGATATGCAAGCAGGGTGCATCCCCACAAAGCAGTACGCAATTACACATGCATCGATCCCCTTAGGTGGACTTTGGAGCATTCCTTGGAACGCATCTCCTGGATACGTTCCCAGACCTCCTGGATGCGCTTCTTGATGGCCTTCTGTAGGTCGTCAACAAAATCTAGGGACAGGTCGTCCAGGTTCTTGCGACGGCCGGACATGAGGTCCCAGATGACGAGCTTGATTTCCATCTCACGGGTGGTGCGCTGCAGCTTCTCCATCTTCACCTTGGCGGCAGCGATCTTCTTCTCGAGGATGGCCTTCTCGTCGACCGGCATCGTTGCCTACACAAAGCTAGTAATAGGATCAATCAATCTCTGGCTAGCTCTATGCTTGGTGTACTAGATGCGGTGATGCTGTGAGAAAAGAAAGCAACTGAAGTGCTCCTTTTATAACCACATTTGGATAACGAAGAAGGAAGTTATTAAGTGCAAAGATATGATATCATATCCAAATCAATTGCAAATAAAGTATAATGAATATATACTTAAAATACTATATACTCTCGTTGTTTTGTAATATTTGTCAATTTGGACTGGCATGATATTACTTTCGCAAGTATCAAAAAGGATCAACTCTTTCTAGTCTGAAGTGCCTATTGTGCTCAGGAGCCACAACTTCAATCTAAGGATGATCAAAAGGAGAAGTTGATGGTATCCGCCTTCAGAGGGGGTGAGAAACGTGCCAAGGAAAGAGAAGATGACCCGAAGAAGGCCACTGAACTTGCCGGACCAAAATTCTTTGCAACTGATGACTGCCCAAAAAAGTTCCAACTTGGCAAAGCATTTTTGCTGGATCATGCACTTGATGATGGTCCATGGGAGATGAGAAGTTACACAAAGGGTAAATGGACGCCAGCAAGAAAGGCCTAACTAATTTAACAATTAGATCACCGCCTGACTTCTTCACCGGCGAAGGTTTCTTCTGGCTAGATTTCGCTGATCTGCACGCCATCTATCATCACGAAAAGATGGACATAAACTTTCTCAGTGCATTGTGCCTGTGAGTATGAATGCATATTTATTACACAAATAAATTGATAAATCATGTGATTAATATCAACAAACTGATTTTATAGGATGCAATACATGGATGCTGAGAAGACAAAGCAATCTATCGGATATCTAGATCCAACAAGGATCTGTCAAACATAGCATACCATGACGCTATCACCAAATTCCGAGCAGCTCAAGAACAAGACGCCTGAAGAGATAATGGAATATAAGAAGGGATTGAACAAGCAGAAACTGATTACTGTTGCACAGTACATTGGACGAGTCTTCTTACACTTTCAAAATAAAAGAGTCATCCGGGCAGCATACAACTTTAAGTAAGTCCAGTAGATTTTTTTATACATATCTGTGTTATTTCATCCCAGACTAACTACACCGTCATTACCATGTAGCGATCATTACTTCTGTTTCATTATCTACCCGAAGTACGGCACCGTGATAGTCTTGGACCCCCTTAATTATCATCACATGACGTACAAACAATTTCTAACAATCTTACAATAGTAAGTGATTCTGATACTCTTGCATGTCTACTATTAATGTGTTATAATTAAATCTCTTCCTTAATACGAAACGGTAAAAAATCTTCACAAATTTTAGCCATCTTCACCTCCACTCCCAATGGAAGCTTGGTGCACAAAGCTATAATAATTAGTTGATCATAGGTGTTGAGTTGAAGTTGACATTGGTTTCTGGATAGGGAGGCCGACAAAAAGTGGAGGAGATAAGGACGCAATGGTGTTGGACATAGGCCACAGCTAGGGTTGACAACCCAAATATGGGGTTGGTGACAACCATGAGAAATAGGAACGATGAAGCCAGCACCAATATGGAGGAGTGTGCGGAGATGAGCCATGTGGGTGGTGACATGCCTGATGGGCAGGTGGATCAATGGGGCACCGAGCAAGATGGAGTGATCCCACAAGGAGACTCTTAGGCAGCGGCACACGGAGAGCTCAGGGCTGTGTTGGTGCTTCACAACCATTGCCTCTTCATCAGAGCCGCATCACTATATCCAGTTGGCCAAAGACACATTGTGTTTCCATGAATGTGGTGAGCCCCAGGGACCATAATAGATGGGCCGTCCAGCAAAATGGCCTGTAGATTTGCTCCGGAGGAGGGCAGCCGTGATGTAGGGGCCCATTAGTGGTGATGAGGTGCGCGTGGTGGAGCTAGGTATTGGTGCGCAAAAGAAACCGAGACTTGAAATTGCCATATTTGTTAGAATAGTTGGGGTACGCGTAGGAGCATTGGGTAAGGGGTGGCAAAATAAACCGAGACTGGACCCCAAAAATACCAAATGTGATCATCAGTTCCTAGCACGGTCTTAGGTTTGAGAAGATAGATCCCTTGTTCGGTCTTTTTGTTTACTACACCGGGTGTCTGAACTACCAACATTATACTTATCTCCTCTTTATTTTGTTCCTTATCTAGTCATACCATTCTCTTCGATCTCTCATTCGCCAGCGCCGTTTGTAGTCTCCGGGTCTTTCATCCAGCCGCACCCTATCTGCTATATATATAGAAGACCCCTCTTCTCCCTCGTTATCTTCCATCTCCCATCTCCTCCCGCCTCAGATTGCCGTTGCTTGTTCACCAAACAGCACTCCCCTAGCTCTCTGTATGGCTGGCCCATGGCCGCCGCCTGCCTGGCGCTTACTCTAGGTTGGTCCGTCCATTCCTATCACATGTGCTCCGGGTTCCACGCATATCGTCCAGCGTGGTCACTTTCACTATGGCCGAAGAAGGAGAATGAAAGATATCAATTTTTTTTATCAAGTTTGATTGTCATTTTCGAAGGATTGAATTACCCGGATCAATATCTCAGTCATGACTGAATGCCCACCACTAGCGCTGCGTGGGGGTTTGGGGGCGTGCCATATAGTAGTCATACTAATAAGATAGTAACTATAATCAAAATTTGACATTTATAGCCCGTACATATGGGTTATTGTCTAATGATCCATAAAAGCCAAGCTTTCAAAGGTACAAGCCCTTACAAAAGTTTAAAAGAAACTGGTGGTGGTGATGGTGTGATCGACTTTATGACAAGCAATGTCGAAGGAAATTAAACCAAAGCAAATGATACATGTGTAGACATGCATGGAGGGCGCATCCACACCAAGCACTACGCAATCACGCATGGATTGATCCCTTCAGGTGTTCTTGGAGGAATCCATGGAACGAAGCTCCCGGATACGTTTCCGTATCCCCAGGCGGTACTTCACGATAGCCATCTGGACATCCTGGAGGATGTCCACGGTCAGGTCATCCACGTTGTTGCGACGGCCTGACATAAGGTCGCAGACGATGAGCTTGATCTCCAATTCACGGTTCTTGCGTCGCAGTTCCTCTAGCCTCGCTGTTGCGGCGGCGATCTGCTGCTCGAGGATGGTCTTCTCGTCGTCCAGCATCGTTGCCTGCACAAAACAAGTAATGGGATCGATCGACCTCTAACTACCTCTATGTTTGGTGTATTTGATGGAGTGATGTTGTGAGAAGAAAAAGCAACTAAGGCGCTACTTTTATAGCCATATCTGGGTGACACAAAGAAGGAAGTTATTAAGTGCAAAGATTTGATATCATATCCAAATTAAATGCAAATAAAAGTATAATGAGTATATACTTAAAATACTACGTACACCCGTTGTTTTTTAATTTTTATCAATTTTAACTGGCATTGTATTACATTCACAAGTATTAAGAGGTCAACTTTTTCGGGCTGTAAATATTTGACAGTGATAACGATATTTGAGAGGGAGCACAAATCGGGTGTACGGCGCTGTTTCACGGCTTATATGAAAATGTGCACTTCTAGATAAAAAAATGTTGCAAATGATTAAAATGGTGAAACATAGTTGCATAAAGATTAAACATTTCACTCATGCACTAGAAACATCAGGATTCAACTGTTGAAACATCAACAGATGCACAAGTATCGGAGTAAAAAAAATGAAAGACCATAAGAATCTCTACTAAAACATTCCGATCAATCACAAAGAAACATATAAAACATGTGAGCTGAAACATCGAAAAATCACAAAATGTACCAATGTAGATCTCTCCTTGGTCGCCTGATCAGAGCTTCTATTGATGAACATGTCAGCTATGATGTGGAGACCCGGTGCTCCATACCTTGGATGACCATACCTTCCTTGTCGTTGGAGTCAACGGCAATGACCATCTCCTTCTCTGTCGCTTCTTTGACATGGTGGTGCCGTCCCCTCCTCCTCTCTGCTGGTGGCCTCCCAGATGTCATGGCTTCCTTGGCAAATCATTGCGCCTCACAAGCTTCTTGCTTATTCCGCCATGACAGCTGTCCTCCCCACCAACATCACCGCCGGCGACCACAGAAGTGGCATGCTGTTGTCACAGTGCCTCGCTTCAGTATATGCAGTGTGAGGATTGAGAGACACTAGAAGAGATGAGAAGGCTCATGTGTGCTAGCTGGTGTTACTGGGAACTGATGTTGAAGATAGGTCCTAATGATTAGTAAATGAATGCGATGTGATGCTGCCTTGTGTGCTAGCCGGTAATTGGTGTAAATTGTGATGGAAATAAGAGTAAATGAATTACAGGTAGACAAGAAAAACAACGCTCACTGCATAAGTTATATCAGGCCTTGTGTGACATAAATAGATCAACCATCCCACAAGTCTTTGATACCTCTCCTTGTTCACCTGATCACCGGATTCAGCACATAGCTTATGATTTTGCTCAATTGGTGTAGAAGCCAGCCGAGAATCGAGCATACCGGTGTCATAAAGTAAATCCAATGCATACTTCCGTTGTGACAAGACTATCCCTCTAGGATATCTTGCAATCTAGATGCCTAGAAAGTATTTTAGTTGGCCTAGATCCTTGACTTCAAATTCCTTACTTAAGTTTTCCTTCAATCTAGTTATCTCCATAGAATCATCACCTGATGATCATGTCATCAACATACACAGCAAGCATAGTTATATGGCATCCATTATGGCGATAGAATACCGTGTGATCTCCATTACACTATATATACCCCATACCACTAATTGCACGCTTGAAATGATCAAACCATGCCCTTGGCGATTGTTTAAGACCATACAAAGACTTTTTGAGTCTCAACACCTTTGCTCTAGTTTGTAATGTAGCAAACCCTGGTGGAATTTCCATATAAACTTCTTCCTGAAGGTCTCTACATAGAAATGCATTCTTAACATCCAACTAGTAGAATGGCCAATCAAGGTTGGCCGCACAAGTGATCAAGGTTCTCACCGTGCTCATCTTTGTAATAGGTGCAAATGTTTCATCATAATCAATTCCATAAGTTTGACTGTATCATTT